TTCTAATAACTAAAATATGTACTGTTCACTTGCAAGTACCTTTACTGAAGAATTATAAAGATTTGTTTTAAAAAAATTATATTTTGCAAAATATGGCTGCCTATGAATACATGTTGAATGACTGAAAGCTGTTATGTTATAGCTTGGGTATATAGTTTAGGAGTATGGGGGGATACTTCAAGTGCTTTAACAATAATATTATGGAAGCCAGGTGCAGTGGCTCATCCCTGTAATCCCAGGTGACTTAGGAGGCTAAGGTAAAAAGATAGCTTGAGGCCAGGAGTTAGAGACCAGCCTGGGCAATACAGCAAGAGCCCCTCTCTAAAAAAAAATTGAAAACAAAATTAGCTGGGGGTGGTGGCGTGTGCCTGCAGTCCCGGCTACTCAGGAGGCTGAGGCGGAAGGACTGCTTGAACCCAGGAGTTGGAAGCTTGCAGTGATGGCTATGATCCCACCACTGCACTCCAGCCTGGGAGACAGAGCAAGATTCCTTCTCTAAAAAACAAAACAAAAATAATATTATTATGGAGAGAATCATTCCCCCTCAAGTCTGAAAATTCTGGTAATTTTAATAGATATCATGTACTTTTTCTCTAGATTTCATATCATCTCATGACACCATCAGCACTGCAGATGATACCTTCTTGGTGCTAAATAAAACTTCAAGCAATCCAACTTTAAACAAAGGCAACACAGTGAAAGCAAACATCAAAATGCTGGATAGAATTTAAAAAAAAATGTTGATGGATGGCCCTGCCAATTTCTGGGTCTACGCCACTTATTTATAAATGATGTAGAGATTAAAAAATCAACTTTAAAAATCAAAATGAATAAAGACAGAAATATACAAAACAAGTTAATTTCTGAAAGATGTCAACATTAATATTACTGTTGATATTTTAGTATAACCTAGTAACAGCATACATCTGCTATCCAAAATGAAAACTGATTGTATTCTATGGAAAAATACTTCTCTAACATTATCTTTTTTCTGCCTAAGAGGTTTTACATTTTTGAAATAATCTAAAATTTAACTTCAGAGCATGATAAAATATCCACCAAATCTTATATTCTACTCCTACTCTTTATATTTAATGATATTCAGGAGCCTCAGAGCCAGATTACTTGCAATTAACTGTGAAAGTTTGCCACCTAGAGGAAGAAAATATAACACAAATATAAATCTGAAAAATGTTAGGTCCACAACATAATGCAATTTTGTATTTGGGTTAAGTGGTCCTAAAATCAAAATATTAATGTTTGTACCTATTTTTCTTTGTAGGATTTCAACAACTTGATAAAATTAATAAAAAGAAAAGAATTCTACCAAATTTAAAGCAAACCTTAAAAGTGATCAAATAAATTAACTTCGTAAGATAATAAATGAATGTAAGTAAGGATATTTTGATAGAGATTCAAAGTGATATGGAAGCTTGTTGAAGACTAACTACATTCAGTTGTAAAGAATCACAAAAGGCACTGTGGTTATGGCAATATTTGAACAAAAAATGAAAAATGGGCTGCATTTGGATAAAAAATATAGGTAAACAAATAGCCTAAAATAAAACAAAATAATAAAAAAACACAGCATGGAAGATGGAATGCTAGAAAATAGAGACAAGTAATCCAAATAAAGCTAGTACAATATGGTCTAATGAATATGTATAAAACAATAGATATTTCCAACAAAAAAGCAAGAGTCATTGAAAACTCATAGTTTCACATAAAGCAAATTTTGGCTGGGCGTGGTAGCATATGCTTGTAATCCCAGCATTTTGGGAGGCCAGGGTGGGAGGATCTCTTGAGGCCCGGAGTTTGAGACCAACCTGGGCAACAGAGCGAGACATCATCTCTACAAAAAATAACAAAAATTAGCTGGGCATAGTGGCACATGCCTACAGTCTCAGCTACTTGGAATGTTGAGGCGGGAGGATCACTTGAGCCCAAGAGTTTGAAGCTGCAAGTGAGCTGTGATCAGGCCACTTCACTCCAGCCTGGGTGACAGAACAGTACCCCGTCTCTTAAAAAGAAAAAAGCAGCAGCAAATTTTAAACAGCAGTTTTAAGAGACAAAAACAAAGAACCTTTACACATATATTAATTATATTTAGTACAAATGAGCTAAAATACAAAATGAGAAGCAATGATAAGTAGCAAAGTCATCAATGCTAAGGTATTGTTAAAATTTTTTAAAGTCTTTAAAACAAAATATGAAGATAATTTTTTGTTTTCTTTCACATTGAAAATAACCAGATCTAAATTTATGCTTCAAAAGCTTAACTTCATCAGTGAATACCCTAAAAACACTACCTTTTATATCTCAGGTCTCTCAAGATGAAGAATGTCACCAGTTACTAACATTTCTAGTAATGGTGATGAGTTTCATCGGGTCATTATCTATTTTTATTTCCATTGTGACCATATCATACTTGTAAGAAAGCTAGCTAGGATACGGGGCTCCATCCATAATTTAGAAAAGACAATCCTAGAGAAGAGCTAACTGGTTCATATGAAAGTAGAATATGTTTGAAACTATTATTCAAAATTAATAATATAAATTTAACTCAATATCAAATACATCACTGAGCTTACAAGAAAGTACGGAATATTCAGAGGCCAAAAACTAAGTGAAACTTAGAACTCAAAGAGGTAAATTGAAAAATAATGCTGGCATTCTCTTAGGTTGCATAACAAGGGAACTTAGGTGTGGTAGAAGAGACAAAGCCTAGGAATAGAAGACTGTCTTGTATAAAACTGGGATCCTAACGAAAGGAATACATGACAAGAGGTAAGAAAGTGTAAGTTTCAGTAACTGATGAACTTGGTAAAATGAAAATAAGGTAAGTGAAATAAGAACTGGGAATAAAGACTATAAGGAATTATGGTAAGGGTCAAAACTAAGAGTCAAGAAAAAGAGAAAGAATACTTAAATATGTACACAATACCTACGGCCACTAGTCACCTCCTCTTCCTTGGCACAGAGGTTCTAAAAGTCCAAGGAGAAGCTTTGTCCTGGTTTTTTCTCTTCCACTGCCTCTGTTTCAAGTATTTAGGCAATCTATTAATGTTTTATTAAACATGAAGCCCTCAAATGGATGAAATTTATACAAATCATATCCTTTTGGATCCTTATCACTTAATGATAAGTGTAAATAATTATGAAAAAGACTTCTGTACAAAAGCATAAGTAGCCTGCCAAATTTCCTATTAAGAACAAAAACCAGTAAAAGTTGAGGGCAGATTTCATTCAAATACCTGGCAGCGGTGATCAGTATCCAGTCCATCCCACAGACTCATAAACTGAGCTTTCATCATGGCTGTAGCTTCATGGTCAGAACTCGAACGGTTTCGTAGAAAGGAGTCTAGAAGGAAAAGGTCCTTAACCTTAGAAATTAATAATGAATTATTTACTCTTTATATAATTTGAAA